CTTCCCTGCTGCCCACTGGTGGTTTCTGGGCACTTTATCCAGAAAGTAAGAGTATCTGGCTGCTCTAATGTCCTCTGAGCGAGTTGCTTTGGAATAATGACTGCTCAAGACCAAGTTCAAGTGCTACTTCCTTCCTAAATGGTTGCTGACTGCTCCACCTTGAGGTACACTTTCACTACTTTAAGCATTCACAGAGATTTTCTTTTCCATGGTTTGCTGATTAATCATTTTGCTTTGAGTTATCTCTTCTACTATTTTGAATTAGTAGTCAAACCTATATCATTACTTGACTTTTCACACATTTGTGCCACATCTCTCCAAACAGACTGCCAGCTCTTTTAAGGCAACACTGTGTGTCTCTGGTTCCCATATGTGTCACAGTCCTCAGCACAGAGTGCCCACTCAGCACCTACTAATCTGATCCAAGCAGAGGGAGGCCAGAGCCATCCTTGGTCGGGTCTCCTGGAGGGAGGAGGAGTTTGGAGCCTGCTCATCTATAGGGGTGGATCCCTCGGCTGGCCACATATCAGAATCTCTCAGGGAACCTAGCTTTAAATGTGCAGGTGGCAAGGCCCCACCCCTGGAGATCCTGATGTACAGTTAGATGGACAGCTACTGACTGAGACCCCACAGCTAACAAGTACTTGAGTGGAGTGTGCTGTCATGCAAGTCCTAAAGCAGAAAAGGTGACAGAAGCCCTTGAGTTCACTCAGAGAAGCTTCATGATCAGAGGCTTTACTACGCAGAGCTCACATTCTTCTCCAAAAAGACTTGGCAGAATATCTTGAAACTCGGTCACCTAAGGGCCAACTAGGCTCTGTGACCGCTCAGGGCAATTCCTAAATGAGTCGACCCCCTGGCCCCTGAGCACCAGGGCAGGAGGTGGGGGAGAGAGCTGGTCACCACCAGCATGGAGACCTGGGGGCAAGGACTTATGATCCAGGTTTACACGGTTTTCCTTCAGACCCATTTATGAGGTCTATATGCCAAAACCTAGTTTTTCATTGGTTTCTATCACATTAGTTTCTATCACTAAATATTCATTCAGAAAGTTTGCCCCCAAGACAGACAACCCACAGCAGAGGGTTTCCTCATCCTACAACAGGTGATCTGCCAACTGCAGTCAGCAATGTCCTTCCTCCTTTCTACAACAGGCCTCTCCAGACAGAAGCCCTGCCTCTCTGAGGGGAGTATGCATATGTATGCTTGCATGTGTAGGGCTTATTCTAGAGCAGTGGTCCCAAACCTTTTTGGCATCAGGGACCTGTGCTCCTATGAGAATCTAATGCCTGATGATCTGAGGCGGGGCTGAGGCGGTGATGCTAACGCTGGGGAGCGGCTGCAAATACAAATGAAGCTTTACTCACTCATCTCCTGCTGTGAGGCCCAGTTCCTAATAGGCCATGGACCGGTACCGGTCCACAGCCAAGGGGTTGGGAACCCCTGCTCTAGAATAGGTGTCAAGGCAGGGAGAACTCATCCTTCCTTTGGTTTGAGTTCAGTTTTACTGAATCTTTTCCTCTGAAAAACATTGCATATGTGGGTCATTCATATAAAAAACTATGAAAGCAGAAAAAGACATTAGCTATTTACTAAGTCCCAAAGCAATGGTTATATTTGTTAAAACTATATTCCTTTCTTAACTCCTGGCCCATGTCCAAAGAAAATACCTAGTGGTGGTCCACAGAACTGAGAATAGTATTCCAACTCTGCTTCATCTAAAGATCCAATGCAAGGATGGCCTCCCCTGTGAAGCCCCTCTAACTCTGCCGGTTCCTTCCCTGGGCCACTGCCGCACCCTATTATAGGATATGGCACGACTCTGCAATCATTGTTCAAGAGTCCATCTTTTGCAATGGACTGTGAGCAGGACGCAGAGCCCGTGTCTTCTACTATCATCATACTCCTAATGCCTCACTCTGCACCTGGCATACAGCCATGTAAATAAAAAGCAAAAGCGTAGGCAAATAAGAGAGCAGACTGATGACTTAAATGCCCACGACAGCAAAAAATATGGATATGAATGCCAAATCCAGTATTTCCTCAACTAACGAGACTCTGTACAAGGAGAAAAATACATGAGTACTC